TTCTGTGGACGAAGGATTAGTTGTGTCAGCACTTAGAACTGCTGGGAGGACTTACAGCTCAACTCTGCTGGATGCGTCATGGGCAATTTTACAGCGATCACTCCGCCAGAAGAGGACTCCCAACACTGAATCTTATCTTGGGAAGATATATGCTCATTCACAACTGGGGAATCTTCAGAGGGCTTTTAGCACTCTGCATGAATTGGAGTCTACATATGGGAATATGAGTACAGAAGCTGCTGAAGAATTGTTCTCTCCGTTTGCTTCATTACATCCACTGGTTTTAGCTTGCTCGAAGAATGGATTTGCGACTTTGGATTCAGTATGTTCTTCTATTCTCGGCAGATTATCTTTTATTTTTCAGTTAAATCTTCCATGACCGTGCTATTTCAAGTTTAAAGACGGATGATGAAAATATCAGTATCTCTCTACCTTTCTCTTTTTTCTTTTTTTTTTCTTCAGAAGACAATGAAGCTTCTCTTTTTCCTGGCTTTGATCAGTATTTTATGATGCTGACACAAAGTTTGTCGAAGATCATAGTGATCTTGTATCGAAGTTATTAGAAATTCCATTGCTACTTGAGCTTTTGCATCAAAGTCTTGTGCTTCACCCTTAATTTTGTGTATTCCCTGCACTATATTGAATATTAATCTTTAGGTGCCAGTCTTTTGTTGTTATTTTTGTCTGCCTTAAGAAGTCATAAATATATATCTGCATTGGAATTTTAAGCCCTGTTTAGTTATCAGAAACTGTTATGGGTGCTATTTTTTAAATTCATATATGCATATGTACATAAGCACATGCATAGTTGTTGAAAAATGAAAATGAAGCTTGGGAATTGATATAGTGAAAATGGGGCATGGGTATAAAAACAACTTTTCGTTCTTTTAGACATATGCCATATTTGGAAAATGATAACCTGAGCCGTTACCTAATCTTTTAGGCAGCAGAGAACTTATATTTCTCTTACATTTTACTTTCGAAGCTGTTATCTAATCTTGCATTTTTAAATATTCTCCAGGTATACTTTCAACTTGAGAACCTGAGCCGTGCTGACCCTCCTTACAAGTCTGTTGCTGCTTTAAACTGTGTAATTTTAGGTTGTGCAAACATATGGGACCTTGACCGTGCTTACCAGACATTTGAAGCAATAAGCAGTTCTTTTGGGTTGACTCCTGATATTCATTCATACAACGCGTTGATGTATGCATTTGGAAAACTGAAGAAGGTGCCCGTTTTCTTGACCTCCCTCTCTCTCTCTCTCTCTCTCTCTCTCTCTCTCTCTTGCATGCTTTCAGTCAGACTACATAGAGACATCCATCTTCAATCTCAAGTCTTAACCATGCTGTATGTCATCTGTATGCATTTATTTACTGTTGGTTGGTGAATCTGCCTCCTTTTGAAAACAGTTGTATAGCATTGCATGCTCACGATAACCATAGGAAGTATATTAGACTCATTGCTTTTGTATTCAGTTTTTGGATTCACACATAGAAAATTTGTCATTTCAATGGCAGACTTTTGAGGCTTCAAGGGTGTTTGAGCACCTAGTAAGTGTGGGTGTTAAGCCCAATGCAACATCATATTCTTTGCTTGTTGATGCTCATCTCATCAATCGAGATCCAAAAGCTGCTCTCTCTGTAATTGAGAAGATGGTAAGGTCATTCAGTTTGCATTCAATGTGCTCGTTTTGTTTATGAAATTTGACTGCTTGTGCAGAAATTAACACAAAAAAAAAAAACATGATCGTCAACAGGTAAATGCTGGATTCACACCCTCCAGAGAGACACTAAGAAAGGTTAGAAGGCGATGTTCCAGAGAGATGGACTACGAGAGTGATGATTGTGTGGAGGCCTTGGCTAAAAAATTTCAGATTCGACTTGGTTCGGAGAACCGTAGGAACTTGCTGTTTAATCTTGACTATTCTGTTGAATACCCATCATAGGCAAGAATAATAAAAATAGGTTGGTTTCCTATAAGCAATTAACTTTAGTGAATGTACAGAAAAAATTTTGATAGTAAAACAGTAGTATTCATATATTTGCTTTTCTCTAGTTGCAGGTTCTGTTGAATCGGAATTCTGAACAACGATTTTGCAGTTCACTGAATTGCTCATAGCAACGCATTGCTATTGAATGAAGTTTGA